TATAATCAATAGTAATAATCCTATTTGAGAGAAATTTCCTAAAGGTATTATATCTATGACCAATATGTCTAGACTTACCATTATACATATCACTTTGTGCCCTTCCAATTGTAAATTGGCTATCGCAATGTATAAAAATTGCAGACACATATTTAAGTCATTTTGGATATCCTCTAGAAATTGGCAAAGCTACTCAACTTTCTCTTCTACTTTATCTAAAACAATAAATTTAGATTATATCGTGGATCTGACAATACATGTTTGTTTAGAGGAGTTCCAAAATATAGCTGCACCAACAACTGTAAAAACATAACCACTTGAGAACTTTGTATCCTTTGTATTAGATATCTATTTAGCATCTATATCCTTCAAGTACAGTTTGATATCATGTATAGTGTAATCCAATGTTCAGGGTATATTTTAAGTATCTAAGAACCTTGATAATTATCTTCCAATTGTTTACTCTTGGATTACTCGTATATCTACTAATTAACTAATTGAGTATACTATATCAGATCTAGTGCAGTGCTTGACATATATTAAACTACCAATGATATGAGAGTATTCTAATTGTGATATGTCTTGTCCAGTATTTTTAGACAAATGAAAGTTTATATCAACTGATATTTTAGCAAAACTGCTGCTTAAATTTGGAAGTAGGTTAACTAATCAAGGAATTCCCAAGCGTAGGAAAGGGTATCATTTTTGTAACTTAGTCGATTTTTGATGTCATCTCCTCAAGGAAAACGAATGGTTCAAGATGTGATGGTCAAAGAAAATAAAAACCTTGAATTTTGAGAGTTTGTTGGAAGAAATTGATCAGTTAAAGAAATAAAAATTAAAGAAAAGAACCGGTTGATCCATAGAGATTACCTCACCGTGAATAGGTATGTTGATTCAAACCCTATAACTCACTTGAGATTGTGGTCAAGCGCACTGAAGCGGTAGATATACATTTAACACCCAATTATAAAAGAAAAATGTGTATTCAAAATAATTGAATTGATTGGAAGGAATTTACTTTGATTGCAGCGATTACAAGAATTACCTATGTCAAGTCTTAGTTTTCGATGGGTAACAAGAAGATATACAAATCAATAACGTCTTCAATTTAAATCATTTAATTAACCCAAATAGCTCGATAGTATTTTTGAGTCAAAATCTCCAATTCACGAATAAGACTACTTCATCCTATCCAACCGGTAAAAGACAACTCACACATGACTGAATTGAAATTGGAAGCAATTTAAGAAAGCATCAATGTAAATGAAAGCAAAAATACAAGAATTGAAATTGCAAGAAAATTAGCTACCTTGTATTGAAATTTCAAAGAAAGTAAATCGTTTGCAGAAAGAAACCCAAAGTAATTGCATTGTAAGAATGTAATACTTTAATTTAACAAAAAAACTTGTAAAGTAAATCAATGGAGAAATTTTAAAAGAAGAAGAAAATCTAAAACCTTAGAAAAGAGAAAAGAGAAGAACGGTGAATTGAACGATGGAATGGAGTTATCTCTCTCTCTCTCTCTCTCTCTCTTTCCCTCTCACTAGCTAGACTTTGGTATTTATAGGTGATTTCCTACTGATTTTTCTCTCTTTGATCCACAAATCATGGCCCTCAAAATAAGCAAGCCGATTGTTTTCCTTAGGAGTCTCAATTACCAAAATTCAATAACCTATCAGTAGGAAGTAGAAAACGACTTACCCTTAGGTCTATTTGTTTTCCTCCTACTGTTTGTCTTGCTCTCCTATTGGTAGAACACCTTTCTGTCTTCAACCTATCAATAGGACAATACCCACCTACCAGTTGAACAATTCTCTATTTTTCTCCTACCAGTAGGATTGTTGTTCTATTGGTATAACCATCTTCTAGCATTCGTTGTACTGGTAGAAGACCTATCGGTAGAAATAGTCTTTTCTTAATTCTGCTTGATGTGGACTTGGCTTCACTCCTAGACCTCTTAGCTCATCTCCCAAGTTCTCCATGGCATCGAAACACATGCAATTCCATGTTTTTACACCAATTCTCATGCAAACACACAAATTCACTATAAAATAAAAAACTCAACTAAAATAAAAAAAATTAAGTGATTAGCATGACTAAGATGAATGATTATGAGGCCTATAATATTCAATATTATGCTCTTACCACACCCCACAACTTAGATTTTGCTAATCCCTTAGCAAACCAAAGTAAACAAACATCAAAATTCCTAAACATTATAATATGAATTCCAAAGCATACTCAATCACATAACAAATATCATCAAAATGAAATACATATGCTTAAAGAAATAAATGGCACACCAAAGAAATCAAAATGATTTCATATATATATTTGATGTGTGCTTTTGGGTACAAAAGAACAAAGTCGTAATAGTCTTCTACTATGGGTTCTTTTACTAAGGCTACTACTACCCAAAACAAAATTCCTAAGGTTTTATTAGAACCTATACACTAACTAGACAACTAGAAAGATGAAAAAGGAAAATAGAAAAGTAAAAGGGTAGGTCTATCAGTTAGTCAGAGGCATCCACCTCCCCTTCATCACTCTCATTGTCTTCATCAGCATCCCTTTCCTCCTCAGAATCAGAGATCATTATCAGCTTCTCAAAACTCTCACCCATAGGTGATCCTTCATCTTCAACCAAAGTGATGGCTTTGGTTCGGGTTTCCACCATTCTTGCCATACCCTCCACCACCTTCAGGTGCATGGAGGCATAGAGAAGCCAGGTGAAGAACCATATGGCCCAAGAGCATTTATCTAGAGGGTTTGAAGGTGAGATCCTCTTAGGAGCCATAGTTACAACTAGGAAAGCAATCAAAGAGTGATTGAAGAGATTTGAGGTTTTGGGGAGGTTAGTATAGGATTTTCAGCACCTAGGGAGAAGTTGGTCTCAAGGCTTGGAGTGAATGAAATGACTTGCTACCGATAGAAACCCTTTTCTTATTTCGGACCGAACAGGAACCTACTGGTAAAAAGCAACATTCAATCTAGCAATAGCTCAATTCAGAATTTCAAAGGTTTTCCTATTTTTCCTTTTTTTGATTCAAAAATAATTAAAATCATAGCTAATTAAACTCTAAATCCTAAGACTCAAAAATATACCCAATTAAATCCTTAATCACATTCCAATGTGCCACAAATTCTCAAGTATATGCAATGCACTTTATGATACAAAATAACAAATACAATGTTAAGGAATTTAAAACATAATAAAAAATCTAATGCAATGAAAATTAAATTCAAAAATAGAAATACAAAACATTTTCGTAGGCAACACAAATGCATTTAGCCTATGTATTAAGCCCTTAAAGCCCTAGGTTTTCTCTAGTGGATGAGTGTTGTCTCGTGAAGGTTTCCAGAGAAGACACCTACAAACTTCAATCTCATCTATCCGGATTTCAACTTGTTGTTTCCTAATTACCATGAAATTAAAGACATACCATATCTACTCAAACTAATTAACACACAGTTCTTCTAAAGGCTTAAAGGTTATTCAAGAATATTCACAATCATGTTAGTAATCAAAACTCATGTGTGTGTGATATAATCATGCAACTCAAGAGATGCATCATGGTTTTCACACTCAGAAAAGAAATTCTTTGATTATCATGACTATTCCACTCATACGTATATGTGAAGATTGAATTTATGTAATCAAGTCAAATTTTTACTCACGTATTTTTCAAAAATAAAGTGCATAAGTTAAATAATCTCATAAAAAAAATATTAAGACAAATATAAGTAATACAATTGGTATATCTCATAGACATTAAAGCTTACACACTCAAGCACACCTTCTAAAATCAAATAGGACTTGATTCGGTTGTAATGGGGCCATGGGTGAGGGTTTAAGAAACCAAGGAGTTAAGGATTTAAAAAAGGTTATCCCATAGAAAAATTCCATATTCAACATACACTTAATCCTTCTTTTTACGACCCTCATTCTTCCTTCACAAGCCTTTTGCTTTCTCATTTTTCAACATTCTTTTCACAATTCCATCTCATTTTCCAATTTTTTTTCCTTCTTTCATTTTCCTCATCATCTTTTTTTTTCATTCATTCATGATTGAACATTTCACCTCAACTTCCCACACATATCAACATCTAGGGATAACCAAGGTAAGATATATACTTATGTGCTCGGCTTGGTTCTTAATTGAGGTAAAGAAATCAAAACTCATCATGGCGAAATCACAGATATTAGAGATAATCAATTGAAAGAACAGGCTTAAGACTCAAATAAAATTCCAAGACGACCTAAGATCATCTTTCAGAAAGTATGGAGAAGTGTTGCTCTTTATTGAGATATAACCAACTAATTACTCATGTGATCTTAACCAAAGCTAGAATGATGAGATTATTGAAAAACAATGGATTTGAAATGAATTCATACGAGTAAGTGTGTTATAACCCTCCAAGAACGATAACCACAATACTCACAGGGTTTCTACATGTATTTCTACTATGAATGTCAAGCTTTTCGAAACATAAATCTAATCTCATAAATCTCAATAAAAGTTGCATGAGAATAAACAAAGTTTGAGTTTCTAATACAAACATCAATATGATATTTATGCATAGACTACAAGTCTATAGAGTACAACATGCAACCAATCTGAATATTATGTAGCATATCTAAGTCTGACAACTCTAAAGAGTATCCTTCAAATAGAGGCATTTTGTCAAAAATTTTCAATTTTTCCACTAAAGCTATAAAAAATGCTAAAATAAATAGAAATAGGAGCAAAACAATTGTGTAACCTCACCCCCAATTTAAATTTTGCATTTTCCTTAATGCAACAAAGAGAATGCAATGAGAAATAAAAAGATAAGAGAAATAGAACACCTGAGCATAGCTCCTAAACAAAACTAACTGCAAAATTAAAAAAGAACAAATTAGCACAAAAGAAAATCAAAAAAACTATCTAAGCACCCGTTTGAAGGGGTGAAGACCTATGCTATAGTAAGAAAGAAAATATGTTGAAGTTACGAAGTCACTTAAATAGAAGAGGGGAAGTGATGGTGTTGGGTTTGTTCTTTGGCTGGGATTGGTATTCGCTTGGGGTGATGGCGGTGGCTTTTAGTGGTAAGCTTGAGGCCTGACACTGGTGGTCGGGCTTAGGGGTCGCGTTGGTGTTGCCTATGGATTTGGGTAGCAGTGGCCTGTTGTTGTAGTTTTTGTTTGAGTAGGAGGAGGAGGAGGAAGGGGTAGGGGAGGGAACGGCTATGAGGGTGATGAATGGTGGAGGTTGAGGTGGTTCAGCTGAAGTTTAGTTAGGAATCCTTGGTGTGCACTTGGGTGGGTTATACTGAGTTCTATACGTTTTTTATGGTTTGGGACCTAATTAACTTGGTCTACTTGGAAGATTTTGTGGTGGTAAGAGCTCCCATCCAATTCAGTTGTTTGTCTTTTCAAAATGAAGCAAAACTTACTGGATACCATACTAACAACTGGCGCACTAGTCGCAAAATCTGAAGATTTGGTAACCTGCATAAATAAAACATTAAAAAAAAAAGCACCATATAAAGACGGGGACACAAGTACTTCTAGATAGGAAAAAATGATTGACGCTAGATATTGACCCTAATTTCAGTGGATCTCTCATCTTTATTTGATGAGCAAAGAATTCTTCAGAACATTTCCAGGTAGCTGGTAAAATTGCACCCTGGATACAAAAAAAATCATAAGCATCCATCAGAACACATTTGAAACCAATATCTACACAAAAATAATCTGTTGAGTATTTAATTGAACATATCTATCAACTGAAGTATCTGGTTCATAGGAATAGCATTTCCACAATGCAAATAAACATGTTTACTGTTCAAATGTGAATTCGTAACTGTCTCATAATTTTAAAAAAAAGAATGGATTGTTCAATTTTGTGCATCTATTGCATCCTATCAGTCAATCCTGAGCATATCATAATGACCTACCTAGTTATCATAAGGAACCTAGAATATCTCAATAGGAACCATAATGATTGTGAACGAGGTCGAAAGCTAAGCAAATGATTGTATTAACCAAAAAAAAGGCAATCACCTGGGTGTTTTCTGATAGGACATAGGAATTGAAGGCCAACTTAGACAATGTAGGAATTATATTGCAAAGAGTGACAACAAACAAGCCATAGGATATTCAGTACCACTAATGATGCATGCATGTCAGCCATATCATGCCATGGTTGACAGTAAGACCCTAAATTATATCTATGTTGCGGTTTTGCCTGAATAACGATGATATGTAAAGGAAAATGGGGCAATGCTCCTGTGCATGCATTTGCCGTTGAGCAGAAGAAGAGAGAGATCTAAAACACATCCAACTATGTATTGTATTTGCATGAGTCGTAAATGCAGAAAGGAATCAAATTCAGTTAAAAAGGGTAAGCTCACCTGTCCCGAAGTGTGATAAGGCTTTGAGTAATTCCCAAGGATCAAGATGCACATATCCTCAAGTGCCATGAGTCTGACACCATAGAACATAGCAAGAATTTTCAAATTTTTAATTCAATATCATATTCAACAAGTTCCGACTTCCCTGTTGGCAGCAGAAAACTACATAACCACATATCGCTAATGTGAGAAGATAAAAGAACTTATTTCGCTTTAGATGCTATTTTAAAGATACCAAACGGCATAACCACTCTTCCTCCCATTGGTAACTACATATAGTTAAATACTAAAACAAAATTTATATGAAGGGAACATAGCAAAATCAAAGAAAAACATCAAATAATAGCTTAGGATAGATTCCAACCATCATAATCAATTTTGTATCTTGCATATTATTAATCATAGAGTTCCTTCCGGATTGATCAAATTCGATTTGTATAAAGGTTGCTCCCTGCTAGTGAAATGTATCTATATATATATATATATATATACTAGGGATAACCCGTGTCTGAAGGCACGGTGTAACCAAAAAAAAATCGAACATTAAATTTGAACGCGAAATAATCAAACTCTGAACTCAGACACATACTAAACTGAAATCTTAAACTCGCCCTAAATCACATGTCTGAAGACACTGTACATAGTTCTTAAATACAAAATAATCAAACAATGAATATAAACATGCATTAAGCTGAAAATCATTTCGTCATTTTTAATGTCATGACTTTAGTGAAATAAAAAGGTCAAAATGTGTAATAAACTTTCAATTTTTTGACAGAGTATCCTCTGAAAATATGATGCTACAAATGTATTAACCTATCTACACAACTTATACATTTCATAAGCGTAATCAAATCATACCAATGAATGGATCCCTTGCTTTATGTAGACCAATTAGTCGACTCACCTTCACACCACAATCCTAATTTGGCACAATCATTTACCAGTTACCGAACCAACTTGATAATGCCAACAATGTAATTAAGTTTAACTTGTTCACATAGTCATTTACATTAAACTCAAACATCCACAACACACAGCCATACACATGTATATAAAATACCATGAATAGTAACAACCACCACGATTAATACCACAACTGAGATTTTCACCCAATTCTAACATATAAAAAGTATAAAACCCAAAGCAAATATAATAATTGTACAAAAACAGTTATTTTCCGTAATTCATTATGCACAATATCATATAACATAACATACACAGGTCACAATCAATTCTCCATGATCAACAACACATAACCATATCTCATATTGTATTCCATCATTCCAATTTACACAATACTTGACACATACTCTTTCTTAAAGGTATATCAAAAATCGTATATCAGCATAATTCACATTTATTCATAACAGTGGATGTTCAGTACTAAATATAGTTCAAACCAATGATTCCCTTCTTACATACACTCACCTTGACTAATGCATTTGATAGAAGAAAAACGTCTCCCTTCATTGGACAACATCCTTTATCCCTATAAAGACAATAACAACATATTTAATGTCTCGTATCTGAAGGCATAATGTAATAAAAAAATCAGCAATTAAAAATTGAGTATTAGAAAGGAAAGCAGCGCAAATAATGCATTTAAGAGACCAAATAAGTTTCTGGGTCCAATAAACTTGGAAAAATTTGGACAAACTTTCCTCCAAAAAAAGGACCCCAAAAGCATACCACAAATGCCTATTATAAATTAGAGACCACAAAATTAGAGACCACATCACCCATTTGCTATTCACCACCTCCATGTCACCATCATTCACCACCACATTCCATAATTGGCCTCTAACAATCCCAGAAAACAAATATTTTAAGAACATCTAAAGAAATTAATTCTATGGGAAAGAAAAACTTACAGTTTCAAAAAATTGACCTTGAAGTTAATTCATTAAAAAAATTAAAACAACACACAGGACTTGAGTTTCAAAATGGTATTCTCTTCTTTTGTTTCATTTTATTGTTTTGTTTATTAAACTGGTCACAACACAAATACTCATTTGAACCAAATTAAATTAATATTACAACTCAAAAATCCCAATATTCACAAAAATAATCAAATTCTCGTATTAATTTGTCCGTGAGTGCCTATTATTTTTCGTAAACAAATAGCAAAAATTCCAAACCATAAACCACCTAAATGACAAGATATTGACGATAGACTCAAACATCAGGCCACTTCCTAAATCATGTAAATAAGCTCCAATTCATTCCAGTTTAAGTCAATAGACAATTTAGCATGGATATCGAATGCTCACTTCAGAAACCAAATTCAGCTTTCTCCATCTAAAACATCCTTTAAACACATACACACACATGCCCTCATAAACATGGACATTCATAGAGTTCGGATAACCCATACCTAAAGGCATTGTGTAATTAAAAAATAATCGAATATTGATTGTAGACTCGAAATTAAATTAAACACTGAAAATGACTGCGATAAGCTGAAAATTTAAATCACATCCTTAACACACCACACTTTGCATACATGCTCAACAAAGTATTATCAATATAAATATTCTCTTGAATACAAATTACAATAGAGAGATGGAGAAAACCTAATTTTATTAGTCAAAATGCAAAAAATGTAAATTGAGTGGTTGTAGACTGTTGGATGAAACGAATTGTGACCGTCTGCTGTGTTTTATATTATAGATTTTAATAGTTGTGGTCAAGGCAATTACACGCATAGCCTTATCCACCCAAACAATGAAATGGACACAACATATAACGCAAAGTCTGGCACACAATCACACCCACAGAGAGAAAGAAACGTATAGCAAAATTTGTACAGCACCAGTAACTCAATTGAACAAATTCTCTAACATTTGATATAATGGTTAAGTATTTTAAACTTGATCCCCCAGGAAGGAATACGATTTGTAGTAGAGCTAACAATGATGACAAAAATCAAGATTTGCTCAAGAATCAAGCTGGGAAATGGAGCTACTGCTAACCATTTGTCTCACTGCTGGAGTCGTCCATACACTGCCTAAAGGTCAGGTTCCCTTGAAAAACCAAAGGGTGATGCTAGAATCACTGTTTTACTTGGTTCTGTCCAAACCTAATATCATTAAAAGCTTGCAATTGTCTTCTCCCCAGTTCCTTGACACCCATGATAACTTTGAGGCACGTTGTGAATTCTACAACAGACATTTCAAGTAAAAACTCCGCTATTCTGAAAACCCAGAACTCAAGCGCCACAACCAATTTTTCAAAAAAAATTCCCACTGGTATGTAGAATAACACGTATACTATGTAGAATAACACGTATACTGGAACAAATAGCCAAAAATTCAAGCAGATCACTGAAGTGCGCCATAACAAGGAAATTATATAGCCAAACTAATTAGAATATACCCAAAGTCACACAGATGCCCAGGAAAACAAATAGAAGCAAGATCCAAAAAAACCAGACTTATTATACGTTTAAGATCCAAATAGCATTTCCCCTTTTATAAAGATTCCGCCCCTCCAAATTTTTTACACTTCCACGTATGTCCGTGAAGACAAACATAATTAAAGGGTTTGACCCATACATCTAATACATGGATCCATCCCCATACCATATCTACTACCCTTGCCCCCAAATCCAATTTAATCAAACTCAATTTCCAGCTTGGATAAATTATCACAACTAAGTTCAAACCAAACCAAAAAATAGATAAAGAAATATATTGGTCAGACCAAAATCTATAACATAAAACCTGAATAACCACTCACATCAAACTCTGTCAAAATGAGTTCATACCCTTCTGGTCTCAAGTTTCTACCAGATTCAGATTATCTAATCACACTAAACAGCAACAATGAAAAGAAAAACAGATAATGGAATAGCCCCAGCAGAGAATTGATTCACATCTCCAACCCATTTTGAAATATTGATTCACATCTCCACCCTTAGAGATCAGCCGAAAGATAGCCCCAGCAGAGAATAAGCACAGAACAATAAAATTTTCAACCCAATATATTCTAAGGGATAGAGGATGAGAAATAAGAACAAAAATTACAACTTGGGTTATTGCTTGAACTAACCTAAACAAAGATTCTCCTATCCCCCATGGTGAATTGATCCCTTGGCTGAAGGTTAGTATGCAGATAACAGCATAAGATATGTCGTTGAATCCTTAATAATGTCTAGTTCTGAAGGCTCAAACCAGTCAATCTTCAATACTCTCCAAATGGTTCTGTTCTCGTTCCGTCCAATCATATAAAACTTTTGATGAAAATAAAAGGCATATTAGTATCCTTGGATTACTACTTAATAATAAGAAAACTTCGTATTCGGCATTCCAATTAGAAGTTGTCCACACCTAAAGAAAAAAGAGAAGAATAAAAAGGAATAAATGCTCAATAAAGCTGCTTTACAACAACAAAAAGTGTATGTATATAATGGAGCCCGGTATACCTGAGATTTTCACAAAACTATTGTGGCAAAAGGTAGACAGAAATAGAGTGTTTTAAGAAAGATTGAAATAACATACAAAGCTAAATTCAAAATGGCGAGTATTAGGCACTCATATATGATTTTGAAAAATAGTATGGAAGAAATTGAGCAAAAATTCTCTGAGAACTTTTGTCAAACATGTGGTGTCTATGGTTGGTGGTGGAGGTGCTGGGTGGACGTGTGTGGGATTGAAGCTTTGACAAAGATCTGCACCATTTGGCCAAAAAAAGTGAGGGGCATCTTTGTGCTTGGCAACAGTGACATTGACAGATCAACGCATATTGTAAAATTGAGGGAGATCCTCCGTAATATCCACTCACAGCTCCCCACCACCATGTAACTGTTGGATACCTCATAGAAAACATCCAAGAGTTTGCTGCAAAGCAAAGCTAAGATGTGTGTGTGTGAGAGAGAGAGCACCGAAGAGATGGGGGGTAGGGTGGGGTTGGTGTTGCGTAGAAAGGGCAGAGAAGATGTGGGAGTAGGATTAGGGTTAGTGTGTGTGTTTTTGTGTGTGTGTGTGTGTGAGAGAGAGAGAGAGAGAGAGATGAGGGATACCTGGGAGGGGTTAGCAGTGGTGGTGGTGGTGTTGCTAACGAAGTGGCGCTGGTAGTGGTGGTGTCGTTGGGGTGTAACAGAGAGAGAGGACTAATGGAGGAAAAAAGAGAAGAAGAAAAAGCAATGAAGAAAAAAAAAAAAAAGAGGCCTGATTTTAAGGGGAAAAAAAAATTGAGGAGAGGTGGCATCTGACAGACGAAGTGACTGACGTTGGTCTATTTTTGAAAAATAGTATGAGTGAAAATAGATGAATTTGGGGGGAAATTGAAGAAGTATTAATGACCGTTGGATGAAATGAATTGTGATCGTCCGATCGGCTTGTTGAAGCCCGCTCTGTTTTATATTATAGATATAGTATAATACAATTCAAATCTTAAAAGATAAACAAAATGACTTTTTTTTTCGCGGTTGAAATAACTTTAAAATTTTATTTTAAAATTAATTTGACGGCTAATATTAACACCCCAAATTTAATAGGAAAAATAAGCATCTGAGGGTGTGTTTGGAGTAACTTTTTAAAAATATTTCTAAAAATTATTTCTCATAAGTACTTTAAAAAAAATAGTATTTAAAATTGCACCACCACTACCTCTACCACCCCCACCCCCACCTCCACCATCATCACCACTATCACCACCATAACCACCCCCACCAACGTCGCCTCCACCGCCGCCACCACCACTACCGCCCTACCATCACCATCACCTCCTCCACTACCCCACCACCATCATCACAACTACCACCACTGCCCCACCACCACCATCACATCCACCTCCTCCATTGCCCCACCATCGCCCCACCACCACTATCCCCACTACCACCACCATCACTATCACTGCCCCACCACCACCCCTCCCACGACCATCACAACTACCCCCACCACCGTCACTGCCCCACTTGTACCCCTAACCCACCCTCACTACCCCATCACCACCATCGCCACCCACCATTGATTACTATCATTATCGTCCACTGCCACAACCCACCACTATCGTTATGTTATTCTTATATATATTTATTACTATTACCACCATCATCTCACTACCCACTGTCTGCATCTACCACTACCATTGTTGTCCACCGTCACCCACTACCACAGCCCACCACCACCCCGTCGTCGCCCACCATCGCCACTAGCCACTTTCACCCATCCCCACCACATTTACCACCACCACCCATCATCGCCCACCATTGCAGCCACCCACTGTCACCTACCCCCACCACACTTACCACCGCTGTCATTCGCCACCACCCATCACACTGTTGCTTAGAAGCACTTATCGTCACCCAAAACCCACCACCACCATCACCGTTGTTACCCACGGCTGCCAACACCACCACGGTCGTCACCATTCACCACAACCATCACCGTCTCTCATCATCATCACTGTTGCCCATAACCACCAACACTGCTCACCCCCATTACAATCGTTATTTAAATTTCTTTATCTCTTCTTTATGTTTGTGATTTGATTTTAGTGTGAATATAAATATGTTTATTGTTGACCTTTTTTTTAATTACTCCCTGCCTTCAGGCACAAAAAATAACTAATATATATATAAACCCAAAAAAGAATAAATATAGTTATTTTATGTATAATTTGTTGATCTCATGTCAATTAATGTATGTTGAAAAACCCACAAATCCACCAAAAATATCTGAATTACCAAATCTAGTAGTCAATATTCAAAATTTTGAATGAGAGTGTCACCAAGATTCATCAATTCTAACATCATGATGTTTCTGCCTGAAAAGTCAAGACTAGAAGAAGTATCACAGGCTTCTAAGTGGTGCACATATGCTCATCTACACATGATATTGCATATGATCCGTTTAATGTTAACCAACAAGGTGAGTATTTCCTAGAATTTATTTTAGGTCGTTTTAAGAGCAGAAAAGCAGGCAATGCGCTTTGGAACAATGCAAACTAAACCTAATTAAGGAACAAAATGGGAACATATTATCTGTAGGGTAACTACCATTTATTTGAAGCACTATACAAAAACACTAGGCTCCTTTTCATCACCCGTGCCTATGGGTTGACACATTTAATTTGGTTATTAAAATCACGAGCACCAGAATATTCTAAAAATTGTCCTTGTAAAAAAATTTCCTCTTTAGTTCTGAATATTCATCCATCCAAGTTTCTTTCTTAAAGATCTGTTGATTGCTATTTGCAAGTCATAACCAGAACGTAGAAGAATAAGCGAAGATAAGCAATCGATGGAGATAAATAGGGAACTTCATTTGTGATGATCTAGACACTGAAGATGTAGAATTAGGATCTATTTTTAAAAATTTTCACCCCAAAATATTTGACACAATAGATCACATAATAAAAGTTATTACCAACAAGATCATATTCCTTCTCTATAGTTTAGCTCTTTGAACACATTAGGTAAACACACTGTCACTTGCACTATAGTGCCTAAACCATACACGTATTTAAAAATGTGCCCTATGTCAATGACGACCCTTGAGTCATGTAGAACCAGAATGGAGACCATCCAAGTTAAGGGTGCTATAAGACAGGAAAGCTCGAGAAAGATGTCAAACAAAGTGGTGGTTAGAGGTCCCACATCGGAAAATTAACATATGCCAAACTAGTTTACGAACCTTGTGCATGGACTTTAGAAGGTTTTGAGTAATAGTCTCTATTTCAATTTCATTGATTTAGTAGCTAGTTTCCCCATTTGTCATATCATATGTGCAATTATTATGTATTTGCTATGTCTTCTACTTTGTATACCACTCCATGTGCAATTGGGGATTGCAAGCGTGATGGAATGTTAGAACTTGTCCTACATTTGTAAAATAACTTATGTCAAACTAGTACCTGAGGCTGGACCTTGTAGCCCTCACCACCAAAGCCAATTCGTTTTCAATTGAATGCTTCCACTGACGAGAAAAAAATATTGTGACACCATCTATATAATATGGCCCTAGACGGAGCTCAAGTGGCACAGTGTAGATCATCTAGCCAACCCGAATAATTTAGATTTAACACTTTGCGATTTCATAGGAAAGCATGGCAACGAGAAGGCACTAAGACATGCAGCCAAAATGTTGGACACATACACCCCCTATTATGTCATTTGGTCTTCTTTTAAACTTACAAAATCCAAGACTAGAAACCTTTCAGGTACTTAAATTCCAGTATATGTCAAGTCATTAAGCTAACATAAGGATTTTACAAATTATTTTGTGTTAATGAACATTTACGGTTTAAACATAATACTATTGAGTAATGGCAAATACTATGACACACTCGAGTATGTTGAGTTCTATGTAATCAATTATTCTATGACTACGTCAAGGGACTCGCATTGTATATAACAAATAACCTATTGATAAAAAAAATGTAACAAATAACTTTGGACTCAAGTAAAACACAGTTGTCACATATGTGAATCCACTATAGTTCATTTATAGTTTTTTTTCAAAGTATTAAGCTTACACAATCAGTGCACGTGAATATGGGACTCACTTATAAATCAGCTTCTTTCTGTCTTCATTATGATCCTCAATGCACTGACCCAAAATAGCATATGTCCTAGCATCCACCTGGAAAACATGTGGTGATCCTAGAATCAACTCCAAGATAATTACACCTACACTCCACATATCGAACCTGTCAAACAAAACAAGTCAGCACATAATCAGGCAACAACTACAAATGAGTTGATACTAAATAGCAAATGAAGTTGGCATACTTGCTTACTGGCCCCTGATACCAACTAGCATTGAGATGAGCTTCTGGAGCAGCATAGTCATAAGTTTGTTCACCACTAGACAAAAAGGAATACAAGAATTAGAATATAGTGTAAGAACAAGTGAAAGAAGATTTTGTTTTAAACCTATCATTTCCATCACACATGCAAGAATATAATGAAGAGTCAGAGAGGTGAACAGAACAGTAAAACTCACACTTATAAGGGTTAATAAAAATTTCCTAAGATCCTTGCTATGACAAACAAGTAGGACCTAATTCCATACTTTCACAGCCCATGTAAACAAAATGAATGACCTGTATTAAATAGCTTGGTTCTAAGCTCAATTTGGTGGTCTACAAAATAAGATTCTTTGTTTCCAAGCATCCTCGACAAAAACCCCAACAATGACACTAGAATTACAGATTCCTAAAGAGCATCTATTTTATGATGCTAACAATCATAATTTTTGTGGAGTGGTGTGTTTAGAACCAATTGAAGTGTGACCAAAAAGGGACATAATAAAAAAATCGTAAGCAACTGGCTTCAAACAAAAAAAAGTAAACAAAACTAAAACAAGCATCTGGAAGTGAAATTTGGGAGGTTGGTTAAAATCAGCATTTCCCGAAAATGCTACTTTGGGAAAACAATTATACGTAATTTATAAAGCTTATTTTTTTTCCACTTTTTTAAAATTTGTTGCTGCATACAAAAACGTTGACTTATGATAATCTAACTAAGACAGTTCATGTTTTAAGGCACTAAATAGCTAAGTAAAAATTGTCTATAAACAACAACAAAATAGCAAGAAGGTAAGTTCTTGTAGGAAAATGTGATACCTAGAAGGTCCAACAGAGCCAGACAAATGCTTCACTGTAAATTCATCCACTGCACTACCGAAGTCAATGAAGCGCCTAACAATTGACAGAAGAAAAACATAAGGAAGCATTTTATACAACAAAACTAAACTAAAAAATGGTGTCATAATAAAATCATAAGCCATCAAACAGATATTCCAATATCATTTCGTATTGATTGAAGATTAAAAACATCTTTAATGTGCTAATCAACTAGGTATGCATTCACATTGACTGGATCAGGTAGTTAGGTACAATTTGAGTCGCACCTGAAAACTAATCACTAGAGAAATATGTGAGTCAAAAAGGGATACAAACTAAGTGTAGAGCCCTGTATATATAGCCAATGAAAGTTACAATAAGGATAAAAAGGTAAAAAGAGAAAACTTAATAAGCCCTAATAAATTAGGCTACTGCTATATCTCCAACACTCCCCCTCAAGTTAGGTGCAAAAATGTCAACTAAGCCAAACTTGACAACAGAGTCCCGAAGAATGGATAGAGTGACAGGTTTGGTAAAAATATCTGCAACCTGATCACTGGTCCTCACAAACGATGGAGTGACAATACCACTACTAACATTCTCCCGAAGAAAGTGAACATCAATCTCTATATGTTTCGTTCTCTTGTGTAATACAGAGTCAGAAGAAAGCTGAATAGCTGATCGATTATCACAATATAATGTAGATGAAGAAGTCACTGAAAATCCCAACTCGCCAAGAATCGATCGTAGCTAGATAATCTCACATGTGCCAAGTGTCAGTGCCCGATACTCTGCCTCTACTGACGAGCGAGAGACAACTAACTTTTTCTTGCTCTTCCAAGAGATAAGATGAGTCCCTTGAAAAGCACAAAAGCCTGCAGTAGATCTACCGTCACATGCTCCCCCATAATCTGAATCTAAATAACAGACTAGAGAACCAATCTAATATCCTGATGCATAGAACAACCCAAGTCTAGGACAAGACTTGAGGTACTGAAGAATATGATAAACTGCAACAAGATAAGGCTAACATGGACTGTGCATGAACTGACTAACTCGGCTGACAGCGAATAAAATGCCTGGCCTAGTGCTGGTTGTACCACTCAGGGGGACTTCTTATTCACAGACTAAATATCGGGGTCGAGCTGTTTCAGATGAGTATAGTTTTTGTCGTGCGAAGGGTCACTGGAAGGCTCAATGTCCTAAATTGGTGAATAAGAATGCCAAGGGAGCCTTACATCAGCCATTTAAGCCCAAAGATCATCATACAGCAGCAGCTGTTTCACCAGTAGATGAGTCATTCCCATCAGCTCCCAGCATGACTATGATAGTTGATCAATTGCAGAAGCTTCTTTCCCTTCATCAACCAGGTGTCTTATCAGTTTCTCTCTCCACAGGTTCATTCACTACAGGTCTATCAGGTATCTCTCGAATTGCCGAAATTTTTTACTCAGGAGCCACCCTTCATATGACTAGTAATTCTTCCTTATTTGTTTTTATTGCTTATCTTCCCTCTATATCTGTCCTTGTAGCCAATGGCACTCAAATGTCTTTGGTTGGTGTTGGAACTATCGTGTATTCTCAACTTACACTTTCTGATGTCTGCTATATTCCTCAACTTACTTTCAATTTAATCTCTATTAGTCAGTTATTTAATTCGAGATTTTTAGTTCACTTTTCTTCTACTAGTTGTGTTGTGCAAGATCCACGGTCCAAGAAGCTGATTGGGATAGGCCATAGATGTTGAAGGCTATATGTGTTGGACGAGCTTCATGTCCCTAAAATTGTTGCATCTACTATTGATTTATCTTCTTTTCAATTGAGTCCAAAATCGTCTAGTTTTTATTATGGCATTCTCATTTAGGCTATATTTCTTATTCTTGTTTAAAATTTTTAGCCTCTACTAGTAGTTTGGGTAATTTAGAGTGTCATGATATTTCAGATTATAGTGGCTGCAAGTTGGCTAAATTTACTACATTTCCTTTTAATGAAATTAATTCTCGTTCTCTTACACCTTTTGATCTTCTATATTCTAATATTTGGGGACCAACTCCTGTTACTACTAAAGGGGATCTAGATATTATGTCTCTTTTATTGATGATCATACCAAATATTGTTGGGTGTATTTGATGACACGTAGGTCTGAGTTCTTTTTCGTTTTCACTACTTTTCGTACTATGGTACGTACTCTATATTCTTTTATTATCAAATGCTCCCGCTGTGATCAAGATAGAGAATATTCTTTTAGTTCCTTTCGTGATTTGTTGAAATTTGATGACACTATTTATCAGTCTTCTTGTACCGACACGCCTACTGAGAATGGAGTAGCTGGACGGAAACATCGTCACATTATTGAGACAGCTCGTTCTGTGTTGTTGTCATTCAATGTCCCTCACTCTTTTTGGAGAGAAGCAGTCCTTACAGTAGTTCACCTGATTAATTGCATTCCTACAATCCTTAATTCTGGTGTCTCACCTTTTGAAAAATTATGAGGTAAAACACCTGACTATTTCTCCTTACGTGTGTTTGGATGTACATGTTTGTTCTGCTACCTAGTGTTAATCGTACTAAACTCTTGACTCGCTCAGCCTTATATGTTTTTCTAGGATACAATGAGGGACAAAAAGAATTTCGGTGTTATGATCCTCGTACACAAAAACTATGTTTCTCGCCATGTTGTCTTTATAGAGCATATTCCCCTTTTCTCTATTCCATCTAGTTCTTCATCTCTGCATAAATCTAATCTTATATATCTTGATCCCTTTTCCTCTAATGTTTCCCCTGACTCATATGTTGGTGATATGATGGTGGTTGATCTTCCCGCCTCTTCTTCTTCTTCCTCTTTGCCTGATGTATCTGTTACTCGCCCCCCGATTGTGCATACTTATGTTCGCAGGACTCCCATTGTCTCCTCCACAAATTTTGTGCCTTCATCTGAACCTCTTGGCTCCCAATCAAATTCGGACACAGTGGATCACATTCCTCGCTACCCTTAGCGCACTCGGAAGTGTCGTAACAGGTTTGGTTGGTCCAACTCTTGTTACCCTTTTGATTTTTGTTCTTTCCTGACTACTATACATTCTCTGTCTAAACTAACCTCTTATAAGAAGGCTATACTTGATCCTTTTTGGCAACAGGCTATGGATGAGAAGTTTTCTGCGTTACATAAGACTTGAGCTTAGGAATTGGTGCCTTTACCTCTTAGTAAACGCCCCATTAGTTGTAAGTGGGTTTATAAAATCAAAACTCAATCTGATGGTTCTTTGGAAAGGCACAAGGCTAGATTAGTGGCCAAGGGATTTGTTCAAGAGCATGGGCTTGACTACGATGAGACCTTTGCTCTAGTGGCTAAGATGACCATAATTCGCATAGTAATTGATATGGCAGCTATTCATCAATGGAGCATCTCTCAGATGGATGTGAAAAATGCTTTTCTTCATGGTGATTTATCTGAAGAGGTCTATATGACTCCTCCGCCTGGGTTGCCTTGTAGTCCTGGTCATGTGTGCAAATTTCACAAGGCTTTATATGGTCTTAAATAGGCTCCGAGGGCATAGTTTGCAAAATTTTCTTCAGTCATATGTGACTTAGGCTTCTGTACTAGTGATCATGATTCTGTTCTCTTCCTTCGATCCACTTCTTCTGGCTTCATTATTTTATTACTTTATGTGGATAACATGATTATTACTGGTGATGACAATGCTGAAATTCAACTGTTGATAGTTACAGGATTATTTTGAGATGAAAGATTTGGGTTCACTTCGATATTTCACAGGGATTGAGGTTGCTTCTTCTCCCAAGGGTTATCTTCTTTCTTAGTCAAAATATGCCTCAGATGTTATTCAATGAGCTTGCTTATCGAATACTCGAACGGTTGACACACCCTTGGAGCTCAACGTTCGTTATACTTTCTTTGATGGTTCTCTTCTGCCTAACCCTACCTTATATCGCACTATTGTTGGGAGTTTGGTGTATCTTACTGTTACTCGTCCAGATATTGCTAATATGGTGCATGTGGTTAGTCAGTTTGTTACTGCTCCTACTACACTTCACTTGTCTGTTGTTCTTCTGATTCTTCGATATCTGCGAGGTATGTTGCATCAGAGTTTATTATTTTCTTCATCATCATCTCTGGAGCTTCGTGCTTACTCTGATGCAGACTGGGCTGGTGACTCTATGGATTGCAAGTTCATTACTGGTTTCTGTCTCTTTCTTAGGGATTCTCTTATTTCGTACAAAAGTAAAAAATAAACTGTTGTGGCTCGATCCTATTATGAAGTTGAGTATCGTGCTATGGCCTCCACAACAGTAGAGATCGTTTGGTTACGTTGGCTACTTGTTGATCTTGGCATTTCCTTGTCTACTCCTACTCCTATGTATTGTGATAACACCAGTGTTATTCAGATTGTCCATAACTCGGTGTTTCATAAGCGCACAAAACATATTAAGATTGATTGTCACTTTGTGCGCCACCATCTTCACCTGGGCACGATATCTTTCCCTTTTCTTCCTTCTACTATGCAATTGGCAGATTTCTTTACAAAATCTCACACCATCGCACACTTCTGTTTTCTTCTTGGCAAACTCTTGATGTTTGATGCTATCACATCATGAGTTTGAGGGTGGATGTTAGAGTATTTATATTATGGATAGTTTAGGTATTTTACATTATTTTGTTGTCCTAATATATAAGGGCCTACATTGTGTATATGTGTAAAGGTTGTATTCCTAAATGGATTAGTCTCAAGATTACGTGTCAATGCTGACGTGGTATCACCATTGTAATGAATATGTCATGGATCACTACATAATATTAAAATATACTCTCGTTTCTACACCGGAAAGTTAGATTTCTATACAAAAAGGATGAGATCAATTTAGAAACCATCTCCTTTCACAAATGAACCAAGGTAGATAAAATCTTTCTCACAACAAACTGCAATGAGGTTAAACGCTTAGAGACAATATCAAGGCACCAAAAGCATATGTAGGAGAAACTATGAAGATCCAATACAAAGTAATTGGATTACCATGATACGCTTCAAAATCAAATTGTATGAAGATGAGTTTGTTACATTCGAAGCCAGCCATACTTCACCATTTCCTCCACCATCAAACTTCTTCAATAATTTGTACCTGACCAACAAAGATACAAGTCTACAACTTTATAAAAGAAACAGCAGAAAGACTGAATTCAATATTCTTGGATAACAAGCAAGACTGAAGCAAAGTTCTATGTCTAGTTCTTAGACATTTGCTTCTTTTATGGAAATTATTAGTCAAAATTAAGCTCCTGGATATCATGCAAGGAAAACAATAAGTTAGTACGCTTTTCTTAGCACTCTCTATCGCAAATCACAAAGGAACCAATTAAGTGAGAAGCAAATTCCATGCATGAAACTTTTCTCTTAATCATGAACCTCACTTTTTAAAGAGACCATCACCAATTGACCTTGAAATAGAAAACTGACCATTAGCGCCGCCCCACTCAAAAACAGGACCTCCGGCCGATTCCACTCGATTTCCTTCATTCTCCTTATCTGGATGGTGATGTCTTGTCAGTTCCTTACAAATATAATATGCAAACCTATTAGAAACTTCCATTTTAAGGCTGCCATAATCTCTTGTGGATGAAATTGCATCCTCGTTTCTTTTCTGCCTATATAACCTGAAAAAAGTAGCTGCACTTCACAAGAACCAAGGAAACAATTAATATTTCACCATTTTGTCCACAGAACCTAATCAAAAAGTTCCATCACAATTATCTTCAAATATTAATAAAGATAATGCTAAGAACATAACAATTTATTGCTTACTAACTCAATCAATCCACGCTATAAAAATTGTCCTTTTAAGAAATATGAAATGCAATTATTGGCCTAGATCCTTCTCACCTTTAGCCTCAGAAGGAGACTGAAATGTTTCAGAACACAAAATTGCCTCCGAGTCTCCTACATAGGCAACCAAAATTTGGCCATCTGCAACAAGTACAACCGTCACCGTAGAACCCACAGCAATATCAATTGTAATCTCCATAATCCCAGTAGGACCTACTGCAATATAAGATGTCATATGTTAGAACCAAAATCCTTGGACTGTTCAAAATTTTCGTTGAATGACAACTGATTTCATTATCTAATCAAAATATTAAGGCCTTGTTTGCCATTTGTTGTGATTCTTTTCCCTTTTTTTTCAAATTTAGAAATTTATCTTTAAATTTTCAACAAAATTAAAAACGAAAATAAAAAATAGGAATCGCAACAAGTGCCAAACAAGGACTTCATTTTTTTTTTCAATTTTTTTAACAATTTACCTTTAAATTGTCAACAAAATTAAAAACGAAAAGAAGAAAATAGAAGTCGCATCAAAATGCCTTTATTTATTTTTTTCAAATTTTTAGAAATTTACCTTTAAATTTTTAACAAATTTAAAACCCAAAACAAGAAAATAGGAATCGCAACAAGTGCTTTCAATTTTTTATTTTCAAATTTTTAGAAATTTACTTTAAATTTTTAACAACATTAAAAATGAAGACAAGAAAATAGGAATCGCAACAAGTGCCAAAAACAAGGCCTTCATTGTTTATTATTATTTTTTGGTTTAATTTTGACAAGAGCCAACAGTGAATCTGGTCCAACCTTTGACTCCGTCTGGAATTACATGCCTAACGATTAATTAAAAATGATAATAAAATAATGAAAGCACAATTCCAAATTCCTACATTACGTTCTTAGTCATAATAATTATTCGCCTTCTTTTCCATTTCTAGATTTTAGATTTCTACCTTGCTCATTAAGGAACACTATTCCGAACAAAAATCTTTACATCTTATTCAAAAATGAAAAATACAAAAAAATAAAAAGAAACAAACAAACAACTTGGAAACAACTGCGTGAAATCTGAATCCGTCTCTAATTAAAAAACAAATACAGTTTTTCTTTCTTTTTTTTGTTTCTTAATTGAATCAGAAAATAACTCTCAACTGAAGCATTTATGTAGTTACCGGGAAAAGGAATGGTAACGCAGAAATTGCGGTCGTCCGGAGACTTGCATCGTCCCTCCAGCATGGCAAACTCACACCTCGCCGTCGGCAACGGTGATTCTACTCCGGAAATATAACTCGATAGCGTACGGCGGCGGCATTCCACTGAATGAAAGACCTCCGGCACACCGCCGTCTTTGTACAAAGTCGAACACATCGGCGAAGGCGATTCTCCGGTAGTGCAGAGAGTTCGTTCGCGTATAAGTGCAAGTAGAATAATTGCACAAGGCAGACACCCTAGGACGAGTAGAAGAAATTGGAATGTCTTCATGTTCGAAGTTCAAAGCACTGTTTAGAGAGAGATGGGGGGAGGAGAAGAAAAATGATTTTCAGTGCTCGATTGTGGTGTTGTGTTTCGTATATATAGTGTAGCACGGGGCTTCAAATGTGGTTTGTTACAGCTGGCTCTGGGGCTGGGCAACCAAGCGTCGTGATAGTTAGTTGTTTTGCTACTGATTTTAACGACCAATGGTACCGACTAAAATTTGAGATTAAATTTAAAGTTTAAATGACATAATAATTAATTATTTAAAATTTTTATTAGAACTTAAATGACATGACACCGATCAAAGAAATCTAAATCAACTGTCATGTCATTTAAACTCTAAATTTGATCTCAAATTTTGATCAGTATTATTAGATTCTAAACACGACTACTGGATTTAAGTGAGGGATGAGAAATTTGGAAGAAGGGGAATAGTGTAACAGAACTGGCGCGCGTGTTTGAATTGTGCGTGTTGCTCTTGCTGACGTATGTGGGTAACGATGGCTTTTGGCACAGACTAAACCAACCTGTCGAAGAACCTTATGGTAACCTATCAAAGCAAATTAACGTTGCTCGGTTATATTCTATCCTACCAACTTTTCTAATATACTGGTGAAGTTCGCAGCGCACAAGACGTGCTGATTATGTAAACTGTAATTCAAAGAAAGTTTATCACCTTCTATATATACTGATATGGCCCCGCCCAATGTGCGGGTAATATTCTCTATATATAAATTATAATTAATGCATGATAATATTTTTATATTATATTATTTTTTAATACTATTTGGCATATTTTTGGATTTTAGGTGCAGCAAAGTTCGAATGGACTTAAAATTCAAACACGACCTTACATATTCAAACAGGTGTAAAGTAATAAAGAAACTAAACTTGGAAGATGAAAAAATTATTGTAATTAATGATGATACACAAAATAGTCTCGTGCAAGATTAACAGACGAGTGTATGATAAGATGTAATTAATGGACAATAAGCAAAACCATCAATGACAGTAATGTAAATGTTGAGTCAATATGCAGATATATAGTAGTTCGGTCCGAGTGACCTACTCCACTCCGAAAAATGACAACGGTAGCCAAGAGACCTTTTATTAATTAAATAAGGTGAATGAGAGAATAAATAATGATTAGTTCCGGGAGGGATACAATAGGTAGGAGAAATAAAAGCTATGCGTGGGATGTATAAAGAGGTGTAGAGATGTGTCCTCTCATGTGAAGAGGACTTATAATTTATAGGCATTGAACCTTTGTTAAGACGGTAACGCGACAGTAAACGCACTAATTTCTCAGGAGGATAGTTACAAAAAGGTAAGTACAATTAAAATAGTTTTGATTTTCGAGAGCGTATATCCCGATAATCTCTCTCCCACGTACTCTTTTCTTTATGAACTCCTTGGACCTTGAGCTGGGTCGAATTGATTAATTGGGTTTGGCCTGCTTTTTAGCTAATCCAAACTACTTGGTTTATTGGGCTAGGCCCAACTAGATTTGGGCTCGTCCTTTAACATTAAACGAAACAGGGTAAAAATCACTAGAGTGATGGATTATAGATTAAAATAAAGTTGTTGGGAAAGTAAAAATAAGTAAGTAAGAGATAGGCTGACTTTGTGTAGAGTTGTTTGTATTTGATCAAGGATATTTTCTTTGTAACATTGCATTCATTATTTATAGGAGATGGTTTTCAACTGTCGAAGCCATTTTTTTGTCATTACTGTAATCATGACCTCTTTTTTTTAGATGTGTTGTCGTGCACTAAATCGTCTCTAAATGATGACTCATTATATCATGTTTCCTTATTTCTTGGGATTCTTAGGGTCCCACTTCTTTAATCACCCTGTCAAGTGTTGACTCTCACAGTTTCTTTCATGACTATCAGATTGCTTTTACGTGTCACTCTTAGGTTTTGCTATTTTTTAGTGTAAACATTGTCCCTCTCTCCCTTTCCCCTTAAAATGATGTGACGAAATGTTTCATATTCGGAGCATTGTTTTGGCACTTTGAATTTAAATTGTTGTTGCTCTACTCGCCTTACTTAGCTGTCACCCTGCTATTGGCTATAAAGCTCCGAGTGTGTGGCCTAGCCTCTACATGTAAGCTTTTAGTCTTATGTTCGTTCTTTCAAATCTACAAGAAAAGGATGGCGCGCGATTTTCCCATATCCTTTCATTACTACAATGGTTCGTTCTTCGCGCCTATATAATCTGTCCTCAGACTTGCCTTTTTGTCATTATTCTGACTTTCTCTTCTTCCTCCTCGATGGCAACCCCATGCATTATTGCCCTTGAAGCATCTCTTGCATGCGTACCAATTGATCATGTCAATCTTCGTACCTTTGTCCTGCTCTCTGAATCTTCTCCTACGGAAATGGACTTTGGGACTACTTTCAAATAACTCCTTTCAGATGAAGCTCGCAACATCTACCTCAACTCTCATTTGTCTCTTCCTTTTAGGTTTGAAGAACCTCTTCGATGGTCGAATTGGCTCAGTGCAAATCTTATTAGTGCATGGAAAGCCCATACTCCCGATTGGGTATCGTGGGTCACCTATATTAAAGCAGAAAAAGGAAATATGTGGCGTCGTCTTGGCATTTTTGATGCAATAGAACTCTGCATTATCGTAATGCCTATTAACGAGTAACTATTTAGTGCTGCTCTTTTGTTCTGATCTGCGGCGAATAATGTCTTTCACTTTCACTTTGGCATGATAGGCCCCATGGTATATGATATATTTGCATTTCTCGGCCTTCTTCTTTTTAGGGCTAAAGCTAACATTCTACTTCCTCATACTGAAGTGAGTGATATTTTCCCAACTGACATACTGGATAAGCCAGTTTCTCCCTCTACCTTTTTTATTGTAGCCTGTAGCAGCCATGATGGCTCTTTGATCTCAGACAAAGAACATAATTCGTTCATGCTTTACTGGCTCAACCATTTCATTTTCTGCATATCGTCGTACAAAAGTTACTAAGGAACACATTCAGCTAGCTGTGAAACTAGCTGTTGGAGCTTCCTATGCCCTTGCTCATGTAATGTTTTCCCATCTTTATAGTGGGATGTGGGAGACAGTGGAGTCGAAGATGAATAAAGGCTCAAGTCTCCTTTGGGTTCTCCAACTGTAGCTTCATGCATATTTTTCAGGGTTTTCCATCTCGTTTGCTAACAATGCCTCTTTTTCTTGCAGTTGCTTATTTGCTATGGCCCCTTCTAAGGAGCAATATTTTTGTAGACTACTTTTCTTATTTGTACATCCTGGATTGCTCACGGCCTATTTGGATGTCATTTGCCCGAAATAGAAGACCAGAATGGTTCTTTATTAGCCTGGAAAGGCTCCTTCTGATGTTGTTTCTGCTCATGCGACTTGCATAACAGCTTCGGACCGACTTAGGGTGCTAACACCCATTACGGTATCGAGGTTTATATGCCTCAATAGTTTGCCCATCAGTTTGGCTTGGTGCAATAAATACCTTACCCTTTTACTCATACTCTTAAACTGAACCTACTAATCATATTAATTTGGTCGATATTCAAGTTCGGGAAGTCACCCCCCGTAACTCCATTGCCTGCTGTTCATTCCACATGAATTCCTTTATTGAGACGTTTAACATCCAATAGACTTACAAAGTTTGGTCAAAGTGTTGTGCTTCTTGACAGTTTAGAGATGACATAGTTTCTGTCCTTCATCATGTAGGCTTCTCCCTGCGCATTCAGTTATCTCCGAGGGCCGCCTTGGTTCAGACTTCTCTTTCCCTATCTATTCAGTCTCAGGCTCTTGGTCCTAACCCTGTAGCTTCCATGGACTTGGTTTTTTCAACCATTCCTTCTTCTCCACAAAGGTCTCAAGCGTAAGGAGAAATGGCAACACTCTTCCATTGTTCCTCCTATGTCCATACTGTACTCTCAAATTGGCGAGGAACATGATGCTGATGATGATTCCCCTTCATTTGTCATCTTCACCAATGCAATGGAACCTCTTCCTCAGCGTCCATTTTTGCTAGCGTAGATCCCTCTCAATATGCAATATTTGGTAGCCTTGAGCCCCTTGGGCTGGCTAATGTCCATGTCTCTGCGGCCTCTTCTATGGCCGCTACTGCTATGGTTCCACCAGCACCATCTTTCGATGATATGGCATATGTTAAAATTATGAATCTGGAGGTGGTGGCTCCAACCTTTTAGCAAGAACCTCTTGATCCCTCAGTATGCCATGTCATTTCTCTAGCCTCTAAAGCTAACTAGGTCGCAGTCCCAACTTAGACGACTACTCCATCTTCTAATGATGTCTCCACAATTGTGACCAACCTGTCTTCTACTCTAGCCTATCTTAAAGCTACCATTTCCTTTGGCCCTGTCTCTTTTTGGAGTTTAGGGTTAATTCTAAATTGCAACTTTGAGACCCACCCTGAGATAGCATTGTTGATTATCAACGGCCCACCCTGCTATTTTAATAGATGAAGTAGATCTTCTTGAGTAGTAGCTCCAATCAATTAGGATGTTGGCTGCTTATCCCTTTGTTGTTGAAGAATACTATCAAGCACTAATGCATTGGCACGGTCTTTAGGAGGTCGGGCCATTGTATAATAAATGTCAAGACTGTCTTGCCATCGTTCATGATCAAAGGGAATGACTGGTCAACTTGTAGCAACATATACATTCTTGACCTAGTCCTTCAAATCGTTTTGCCTATCTTCCTGAATAGTTGGCAAAGATAGACCACGCAGATTGCTGAGTCAGAGGCTCGACGTACCAAGAGCATTTGTAAGAAATAAATACCACTACGAAAGCTTTCGCGATCTAAGTGGACGATGGCTCGGCCTCTGCTGAGTTAGCTTCTGCCAAACTCCAGGTCGTTAATAGGTCCTTGTACCAACTAGAAACAAAATTTTCTAATCTTGTATAGTTTCTAGAGAAATAAAATATAAATAAAGATAGACTTTTTTGCCCTTTATGTCTTTACTTATATTTGTCTTTTCATTTCCCACGTGATGGTTGAT